TCCTCGTGGACCACACCATCCTTTGACAGGTATTCACAGGCACGCAGCAAAAAGGAGAAACCGAAAGACACCGCGGTGAGTAACAGCAAGTCATCCCACAGCCCAGTGTCCAACCCCAGTTGGATCTGCTTAATATGTGCCACTGTCACCGGATGCTTGCGCTTGGGGGACTTCTGTCGACGCTTCAAGCCAGCCATGGCCATCTTAAGTCGCAACTTGTCCTTGAGAATATCCCTGCCATCTGCGACCAGGTGTGCAAACCTGAGTGCATATAGACACACATGAAGGGTGGAATGCTTGTATCCATGGCCTATGCCAGCCCAGTAGACAAATTCCATAAGATCGTTTTCCTCAGCCTCGTCGTCGGTGCCTAACATAAATGGTTTTCGGCGTACATGACGCCATAAGTGCCACTTCTTTAAGGAGGACTCATAGGTCTTCTTTGTGCCTGCGGACAAGCGCTCGTACATGAGCTGCATGCCGCCGTTCTTACAAAACTCCTCCTTGTTGTCCATCGTAATCCCTTGCTCTATGCCCGGAATGCACCGATGTCCGGTCCCTGGAGTGGGTCCAGGAGTCGGAACGGTTCGCGGAGTGGGCGGAGGCCGGGGAGGAACCAGGTTCCCATGGCCAAGAATTTCTAAGTATCCATGACTCAGATCGTTCCTGAGGTCCGCCTGAGCCAGGGCAGGGTTCAGTACCCTGTACTCCCCATAAGTCCGAGCACGCTTGTACTTCTCATACCTCACGTTGCTCTGGGAGTCCTTCCTCTTGGGATTTACCTGGTTGAAGCGTAGTGGTGTACTGTCGTCGAGGTGTGGGCTGATAGGCCAAGTGGACGGAAATTGCATTTACGGCAGTACAATATGTTTCCGGTAACGAGTTAGTGAGTTTAGACCACCTATCATCATCCAGCTAAATAAAACTGCTGGTTGTGGTGGTCCTCTCCCAGCTCGCCGCTTCCCCGGGGTCCGGGGTGGCGCGGCTTATATTTTTTTTGGCCCGCCCACCACCCTCCTTCGGCACAGATGAAGCACCCGCCCTGCCCTACCCTCCTCCATCCCCGCTGAGGTGGCTGCGCCATCCAAGCGCGGTCCGTCGGCCTTCATCCTGGCATATTTAATTGAAACTGAGCTCAACCTCCCCTCGAGGGAGGATCTTACTTGCTTCCTTTAGCTCCTGAAGGCTAGTGGGAGATACGAAAGGCCAAGTGGACGGAAATACAAGAATAGATCGATTGCACGCTTTACAATGTGTTCGAGACAAACAACAAACCAAGCGGGGCTTCGGCACCCCTCAGCAAACGGCGATGACCTTCGGCGCCTCCGCGACGACGTCCTTC